GCTGGGGGGTGCGAGGGTGCGCTCGTGGCAACACACACACTGAGCGCTAGACTCACGCCGAGCGCTAGACTCACGCCGAGCGCTAGACTCAGGCTGAGCGTTAGACTCATGTTGAGCGCTAGACTGAGGCTGAGCACCAGACTACCCCTGAGCGCTAGACTCGGGCTGAACTCTAGACGTATGCTGAGTGCTAGACTCACATTGAGCGCTAGACTCACGCTGAGCGCTAGACACACGCTGAGCGCTAGACACACACTGAGCGCTAGACTCCCCCTGAGCACTAGACTTATGCTGAGCGCTAGACACACGCCGAGCGCTAGACTCCTGCTGAGCTCTAGACTCATGCTGAGCGCTAGACTCCCGCTGAGCACTAGACTCCCGCTGAGCGCTAGATACACGCTGAGCGCTAGACACACGCTGAGCGCTAGACTCCCCCTGAGCGCGACACTCAGGCTGAACGCTAGACACACGATGAGCGCTAGAGTCACGCTGAACGCTAGGTTCACTTCTCGCCGCCTTTTTGCATAAAGGAGGAAATCCTCTTCGGATTTCTCTCAGGAAAAACAGGTGCTGTTGGAGCTCTTTCGTAAATGGGGGGTGCCATAACGTGAACATCGGAAAAGTGAGTGACACCTGTATATTAATTTATACCACTGGGTAAAAAATAGAATGATAGTTCCCAAATCACATAAGAGAAAATACCAAAGACTGGCCTCGCGTGCCTAGGAAACGATGTCAATAATTTCACGCCAGTACTTGAAATTTGAGGTGTTAGTAAGCCTTCCCCCTATGGCTCTAGGCCTTGTCTCCAAAAAAGTAGAGTCAGGCTTACAGGATGTGCTACCGACATCTGAAGCGGAGCTTGCCGGACAGGGATATCTTTCCAGGTCTTGGTGGTCTCATTCCACAGTTTCTATCTGACAGCAGCAACAGGTGTGTGGAAAAGGAAACGAGATCCGAAAGGGCAAAGGCCACTTCCTCCTTCTGTCTTACACTCTGGCTGGGCTGGCAGTGTGATGACGAGCCCCCTGGCATGTGCACTGAAGCACACCATCCCAGATGGCCTGAACTTGGCAGCACGTAGCTCTTGAGCAGGTGTCTGGCTCCGTGTTTCTGCTAAGGCTCCACCTGGGCTTGCTGTTTGCAGGAAATCCAAGGACAATATTCCCGAAGTATACTGGGTGGTATTCTAGCCTTTGCTATGAGCTGGGTAAATAGTGGATAGCAGTGCCTTCCTCTATTTCACATGCTAGAGAGGGAAATCCATATCTAACAAGCCCCAAACATGGGAAGTACGAAATGGGATTTGTACAAGGACTCAAAGAACAACAGGGAGAACATAATCGGAACTGGAAGGGTCTGAAAGGGCTTTTCTGAAAAGCTAACAATGAATCTAAGCCCTGAAAGATAGAACCGACAAGATATGGAATATGGGAAGGGAATTCCAGGCGTGGGAAACAGATCTGCAAGGAAATAGATCTGGCAGGAGGCGGGGGGAGGATGGCTCTTTAAACAAATAGAAGGTCACCATGCACATCGGGTGAAGGAGGGGGGAAGTGATGAAGGCCCACGATATAAATATATAAAATTTATATAAAATATGGTGGAACACAAATCAGAGTGCTAGGATCTAATTTATATATTTTTAAAAATCGCTCTGGCTGCTGTGAAGAGAATGAACAAAAGGGAAGCAAGTGGAAATGGAAGGAAAAGAGATTCTGATGGTTTAGAAGAGAACGCTGTTAGTGGAGATGCAGAGAAGCTGAAGAAATTGAGAACTCTTAATGCGAGGGTGATGGAGAAAGAAGGGTCAAGATCAACTTCCGGGTTGCCATTTGTACATAGAGGTGGCTAGAGATGCCATCTCTTGGCCCGGGAAAACTGGAGGAAGAACAGGATGGGGGGGGCGGTGCATGTGGAAGACAAGGGGAAGGAGAAGATCAAGAGTTCGCTAGGAGTGTTGAGTCAGCAGTAGCTGTAAAATGTCTGAGTGCAGATGTCAGCTAGGCTACAGGATATGAGTCAGAAGTTCAGGAAAGTCTTATAAGCTAAAGACATACACTCGACTGTCACCAGTGTTTACAGGTCTTGGGGAGCCATGGCTATAAGAATGTGAGGATACAAGAGAAGAGGATTCAGATCAAACACTCTAACAACTGGTTTTACAGAGGCAGAGGAACAAGCAAAGGGAACTCAGTTGGAAAAGTCAGAGAGAATGAGTATGAAAAAGAGAAGGAAAACCACAAGAGGAGGCATCCAGGGGCCAAGGGGCAGGGTGGGGAGGGGCAAGTATGAAGAAAAAGGGTTGTCCCCTGTCTTGAATGCTGCTCAGGACGTCTGATCACAAGAGGACTAAAAAACACGCAGTGGGTTGGGCAGCACCGAGGTCTTTCGTAGTCTTACCAGGGACAAGTCTGATGGAGAAGTGGGGGCCTAGGCCAACTGGAGTTGGGGGGGGGTAATTGGGAACTGAGGAAGAGGGCTCGCAGTGTAGGAAGAACACTGTTTGAAAAGCATGGCTATGATGAACAGAAGCGAGATAAGGCAATAGCTGGAAGGTAGTTTGTTTTTATTTTTAGTTTTTTTTTAAAGATTTTATTTATTTATTTCAGAGAGAGAGAATGAGAGAGAGCACATGAGAGGGGGAGGGGCAGAGGGAGAAGCAGACTCCCTGCCGAGCAGGGAGCCCGATGCGGGACTCGATCCTGGGTCTCCAGGATCATGACCTGAGCCGAAGGCAGTCGCTTAACCAACTGAGCCACCCAGGCGCCCAGTTTGTTTTTAAATAATAATAAAATGTAAAAATAATGTTGGCATGTTGGCAGTCAAAGTCCAGGAAAGAAGGAGAAGACTGGGGGAGTGGGGTACAGAAGAGCTGACCTGGGATGGGATGACACCCAGAGCACGTCCCAAGGCACTTATCTTTGACGGGGGGAGAGAACCCTCCTAAGTGGGGAAGGGATGGGATCCATCTGATTTCTCAGAGAAGTAGGTGGTGAAGTCACCTCCGTGGGAGGAAAATGGACCAGAGGTTTGAACAGAGTGGAAGTGTGAAACAGCCGTGTCATAAAATCATATAAGTTTATTTGAAAAACATAGTAATGCCGCCAAGCGGTATTTGAGTTTGGTCATCAAAAATCTGTATAACATCATCTAGCCCAGTCTGTTTCCATTTCCCTTGTCCTTCTCTGGAATCTCTCACCCAAAGCCAGTTTCTGCCATTTTTCACACCCTGTGATGACAGACAATAATCCCACTTTCCAAGACCAACGAATCCCCTAACAGCTGCATGAGCCAGTCCTATACTTCAAGCCCCCAGTGTCCCCTCTCCTATGCAGAGCCTCTGTCAAGCTTACCAAAACAATAATAGGAAGGATGGAGGTGGCCTCCTTTCTTGTTTCTGCCCATGTCCCTGGAGTTCCACCTCTCCTTTAGGTCCACAGAATATAACACGACTTTCCCCGGGAGGTGGGATTGACACGACTTGCTTCGCTTTTGTGTCTCATACGAATGATGGAGACAAACAGAATTTGCAGGCCATGCCATGTGTGGGCTACACAAAGATAAGTAACTACATGGATGAGGAAGGCAGAAAGGCTTGTGGAGAACATGATACCCATTCCTCTGTCCCACAAGTTTTCCAGGAGGACATAAAAATAGATACTAATAAGCACCGCAAAGACATCTCATGCTTCCCACGGTTTCTTGCTGTATCAGTGCAGAATCTTGGAAAAGCAGAATCGTCCTCTACTGCAGATCGAGACAATCAATCCTTTGACCTGGCTTTGAGCTTTTTAAAGAAAAATATACCAACTACCCAAATGGATTCTTTACTATTTCAAAGTCTGGAGCTAGAAGGAACATACATAAAACTTAATGTGAAAAAGCTGGGTAGTTAATCTTGACAAGCAGGCAACCAAGAAATTGATGTGTAGCTGTTAGTCTGACATCAATTTCTGACAATATCACTTTGAGCTCATTCTCTGGCACCAAGATCAAATGCCCTTATTTATAGGTCTCAAACAAAGAAGAGCCTAAAAAGGAAGCCGCATTCAGCAGAAATCCTTTCCACATATTACCCACTAGGACTTACTCAAACTGATTTTTTTTTTCTTTTTTCTCAGCTTAGTGGAGAAGTTGGTGAGCAAGGAAGAATGTGTTCAAGTTCGTTTGCTTTTTCCCTCTGAAACTGGAATCTCATTTTTTAATTTTACGCTTGGTTTAGCTGTAACTAACTCAGAATGTGAGAGAAGAGTAAGTAAAATATTTCCCAGAGGAAATAAACAAATAAACAGACAAACAAAAAACCCAACTACTACCTTGAATTCTAAGAATTGCAAGTAATTTTTCCCACTTTCCCGAGTAGATATCAGCTAACATTCAGGTTGTGGCTTGAAATGTACGAGTGAGACCTTTTCCGAGGTAAATGTCAACTGTTTCATGGGTATTTTCCACTTGGCAGTGTATGAGGATTCCCTGACAACTCCAATGCATTTGTCAAAGAGCAGTGCCCTTGCATTGAAGACAATGGCAAGGCAGGACAGGTGAGATGAATGGTTCCCATTCAAATTCTTAATAAACAGAAAAATGAAAAGAAAAAAGGCAACTGTATTTGAATATGCCTAAGTCATCCCTACAGGATACCAGTGGTTAAGAATAAACTTCTTATGCTAAAATCAATCTTTAAAAAACACAGCACAATCAGAAGAGCAGAAAGCCTGTTGGAAAAAAGCAATTCACTCATCTCAAGTAGGTTAAGCTGCCATGAATATCAACTCAGAAAGTGCTATGGGCTCTACTCCCTTAGCATCCACAGCTCAGTCCCTGACAGTTCTTTGTGAAGAACTTACCTCATCTTAAGGCTTTCCTCTAGTACCACTGTTTCCAGGAACATGACACACAAATCCCAAACCATGGGAATTCATACAACATTTAAATTCGACCGAATGGAACCACCATATTGCTCATAAAAATTGAATTCAAATATACTTTTCTTTTACCTTGGTCTTTTCACCAACGATGTTCTTTTCCAGTTCTGCTATTTTCCGATTTAGATGATCCAAAATTTCCTTCTCTTTCATAAGTTCAGTTGTTTCAGATTTCTGTTCTCCGTCCAAAAGAGCACATTCCATATCCAACTGAGGACACAAAACAAAGCTCAGACGTGTTTCACATTCGGAGAGATTCTCAACTGCCCACTTTAGAGGTGCATTTTTAACAGCCACAGATTTCAAAAAGTACTATGGTATCAGCCAGACTGTGGGGTCTAGAGAACACCCCAGAGACTCCAGGTGAGACTCAGAATTCCTATATAAGAAAGCTGGACAGCCCACAGTATATTTACTAAGAAATCTACCTATCATTTAATTTTTCTACTGTAACTCCTTCTCTGCTAACTTCTCAAGAGTATTTTGCCTATTTGCTCAGATTCAGGCTCAAGCACAAACCATCTTGGGAGCAGGTGTGTCTGTCTGTGTTTGTCCACAGAGCTTGGGAAGTGAAAATCACACCCGGCCCAGCATGCAAGTGATGCATTCTTAGCAGTGCCAGCAGGAGGAACATCCAGGGTCTGTGTATAAGATGACAGGTGAGCAGTCTCCTTCCACTTAGAGCTATCTGCATTATCTGTGACTATACACATGCTAGGCAGAATCATTTGCTCCTTCTCGCTCCGTGGAAATAGTATGAAAATTGGCCCTTTCTCCTATAATAGTAATAGACTATGTGTCTGTCTCCTCTTTGGTTTGCAAATCTCTAGAAAGCTAGGTCTATGTTTGCTGCATATATAAATCCCCCTATAGTCCAACACGACGTCCAATTCATAGTAAGCATACTCAGGAAATGTTTGTTGGATTTGAATTTGGACACCTAAATATATGGGGGCCTCAGCTGACAGATCCGTAGCAAGTCAGAGAGCAAACAGCTTTGTTAAGACAAAATTGGTTATACCCAAAGTACATCAAAAATGGCTTCATATGTTTGTCTCATCTGACTTAAGAAAAAAAGACAAGGAAAAAGAACTATTTTTTTTAAAAAAAGGTATTTTTACCCTGTACTTGGACCCACTGAAAAAAATGTTAACTCATGTTGATTTCTATGTATTCTGCTTCCGAAACTTATGTCTTAATAGGCAGTAATATTTTTAAGCTAAAGGGAAGGGAGAAACAAGAGAGGGGTAAAAAGTCAACTCCTGGTTTATACCTCTCTGGAAGATTCATCCATCTGGTCATTGATATCTTTGATTTTTTGTTCAAGTTCTTCGAGGTTATTTAGAATTGCTATCCGGGTCTCTTCCATTGCTGCCAACTCCTGAATCCTTTGTTCTTCGTTTATATCCTCTGGCGTCTGCAATTAATCAACACAGAAAAGGGCTATTCACACTTCAATTCCAGAATCTCCCAATTTATAAACCAGTAGAAAGTCTTGGGTTTCACAGTCTCAGTGCCTCTTTGGATTCTAAAAGCATCCTTGTGATTGTTGTGTTGCAATTCTGCATTTTCCCACAAATCCTCAGCAGTGTGGGTCTTAAGTTACCTCATACAAACCAACTTAAATTCACCCATTCATATTCTTTTAAAGCTGAAATAACTAAGTTTGTACAGATGAGGAAGTTGTAGTCCATAGACATTGTAGTGACTTCTATAAGGTCATAGAGAAAGTTTGGCACAGCAAGAATGAGAAGCTAGACAAGACTTTTGACATCTTCCTTAGGGATCTCTTGGGCATGATGCTACCTTCACTCCAAGCTCCACACTCTCTCCCAACTCTGAGTGAACACAGCTTCTACAACGGTTTCCCGAATCTCTAGCCATACTCCGGGGTCCCACCACTAGGGTTATCTGTGAATGGGCATTCATGCTTATTTGTCTCCTTTCCAACACAAGGTGGAAAAGCGAGGGCATGATACGCTTGGCCCCTCTCACCTCAATGTTCCATAAAGTGAATAACCAGGGCAATACAGCCCTTATTATTTTAGTGACTCCCAAAATGACTGAAAACTATACACTTAATATGAAGTTAATTCATGTTTCACTTCTTGTGTTCGCACATTACTTACTGTCTTTATCCTACAGCACCTTCTTCCTATATAATGTTTAAGACACCAACTGGGCCAATGGGCTTTTGTGACACAAAATAGGACACTGGTCATCATTCATAAAGTCATTTCACAGAAAAAAACTTGAGTTCCTTGGCAAGGAATGAGAAAGGCAGGAAAGAACCTGAGTAAGAGAGGACATACTTACACCCCTCAACAGAGAGATGACAGGTGCCCAGGGAAGAAAGGAGTATTTGAGATCAAAATTTGACGGCCTATTGTTTTAAAAAGAGAGTATAATGAATTGAAAATCACCTCTTCTTTCAGCCATTTCAGGTTAGTTATCCTAGATATTGCCTGGTAGAGATCAGTCTTTCTGTAAGTCAAGGGATGCTGGGGTATCGGTACATTACTTATTCAATTTTTATCTCTCTTTGAAAAAGTAATTTCTTTTCATTAGTAAGTCAGCCATGAAACAATTTCACAATTGGACACTGAACATAGCAGCCTCGATAAGTAAATTATTGAGGTTTACTCATCAATCAGTGCCAAGAATATTCATATTAACCAAAGAAATCATTTAGTATGCCACATGAAGTTCATTTATTTAATGATTTTTTTTTAAAAGATTTTATTTATTTATTCATGAGAGACAGAGACAGAGAGGCAGAGGGAGAAGCAGGCTCCCAAGGAGCAGGGAGCCCGATGCGGGACTTGATCTCAGGACCCTGGGATCACGACCTGAGCCGAAGGCAGACGCTTAACCATCTGAGCCACCCAGGCGCCCTATTTAATGATCTTGAAAATAACTTGAAGAAGAGAGCCAGCATGTGGCATTCTTTATTCATATTCTTTATTCTTCACCCTACTTCACTGCCCCTTAAGGAGATCAAACAATTGAGATGTCACAGTATCTCAGGGTAATTAGCAAAGGTATGCAGGCCTTCCAAGCTTTGACAGTTAGACTTTTAATTGCCATCTTAAATCCAGTATCTTGCCAATTAATAAAACAACTGCTGACCTTTTTATCACAATGAATCTCATTGTCTTAATACTCAGGTACCTGTTTTAGGGCGTGAGGAAGGCCTGTAATAGTGAATGGCATTCCAAAATCACTGACGTGTAGTCCTAGCAGGAAAGGCCCAAGAAGGCCAGTATCCTGTTGGGTCAACATTTCATATTGGGTTTCAACTGCCAACATCGTTTAAAAATATCTCTTTCACTGGTGGAAGTCAAGCATTAAGAGCAAACAAAAGCTGAACAATCTGGAAAACCATAAACTTTCTAAGCAAAGAGAGGGTGAAGAAAGGTGACAGTGGCAATTATAAATGTCTAACTCGAAGTTTCTAAACAACTGACCACAAGAGGCATCGTTGATAACAGACCATTTGAGAGGCTATTTATAACAATCAGTGCTGTCTAGGAAATGGTTGTTCTTTTTTGTTATTTATAAAGAGCAAAATCTTCAAAAGGCATTCTAAAACTCTGAATGGTTTGTGATGGAATGGAAGGAGAGTATTGTTTACACACGTACGAGCATCCCCAAATATGCCATCTGCGAGGCAACCTGATCTCCACAGAGAAAAGGGAGGGAGGGTAGGAACGAGACACTGTATCTGCTTCCCCCCACTCAAAATCTCTTCTTAGAAACTCCTTGCAACCAGAGGAAGTTGCAAGTGTGAGGGCTGTCCACTGTAGACAGAATGATAACTCAAGAAGAGAAGAGGGAAAAAGTTCTCAAGGAAAAGAACTTTTTTTTTTTTTTTCCAAATAACGATATGAGGTGATGGATGTTAAACTAAGCGTGGCAATCATTTCACAATATTTGTAAATCAGGTCACAAGGCTGTACACAAAACGCACACAGTGCTGTGTGTGTGACTTAAATCCTAACACTGTGGAAGAAAGAGGAGTGAGCTAGTCTCAGCTTCCACCTCAGGCGGCAGAAGCAGGTCCACAAAAGCCAATTAAAATTAGCATATTCCAGGGCGCCTGGGTGGCTCAGTCGGTTAAGCATCTGACTTGGTTTTGGTTCAAGTGGTGATCTCGGGGTCGTGAGATCAAGCCGGGGCAGGCTCCGCACTCAGCAGGGAGTCTGCTTGAGATTCTCTCTCTCCCTCTCCCTCTGCCCCTCCCCCTGTGCTCTCACGCTCTCTCTAAAATAAGTAAATCTTTAAAATATAAAATAAAATAAAATAAAATTAGCATATTTCTAAGGTCATCTGTATCTTTACGTGTTAGCTTAAACAAGTTCCAGAACAGTAAATCTTATGTTTCCTAAATATCATCAAAATCTTTGTTTCTTGAAATCAATGTGTTTGTCACATTCCTCTCTTCTCCATTGATCCTTAGATAGATTAATACAAACACTGTCCTTTGCTAAGTAAATAATTTAGTGAGCAGATTACTAAGAAGAAAAGCATCCAAAACAAATGGTCAGGACTTAATAAAACATTCTTTTATCTGCTGTCCTGGGGTAACATATATCTGTCTCCAAAAGGTCATACATGCAAACCTCCGTCCTTGGAACTCATCCCCTCCCTCGCTCTCTGCCTAAGCTGCTGCGTGGTAACCAGAGGCGCCTTTGATATTTCCTGTCTCCAGAGGATGCACAGTCTTATGTGTCTTGCCACAACGGAGGCTGCTCTAAGCTTCAGAGGCCTCCTTTTCCACAAAAGCATATTTGGGCAATTAAAAACATCTGCCACCATCTGCCCGTTTACACACCAGCAGCTCTCTTGTCCCAGCCCTCTTCAGGAGGAAACCTGTCTCCCAAAAGATGGTTCTTAGAGAGAGACACATAGGTCACTGTTTTAACAAAAATCTGGCAGCTGTCCATGATGGAAGAAATGGGAAAGGATTTTAGATGAAAAGGAAGTCAAGGACTTCAAAGGAAGCCAAAGGCTGATGAAAACAGCTCAAGTTTTCAAACGGTGGGTCATTTACTCTGCCTGAACACAACCAACATTTGATTCTGCCCCCCATCCTAGTTTCTAACAGTTGCATTTCTGGTAATAGAGACAGATGTCCTATTCTGAAGTACTCTCCATAGAGAATGAGTAAGGTCACTGTGGTCATTAGGAGAAAGAAGGACTGAACATTTCCGAGTCCTAATGCTGATGATGGGAGAACTCAGAAGGTAGACACGGACTCCTGACAAGGAACACTGAGTAAAAAAGTCAAAACAAACACACAAACTCCTCCTGAATAATACTCCAGATGATAAACTACCTCCAGAATTTTGCACATGATAAGGTCTTTCTCTTAATCAGTTTGTGTCCTTCTCTTACAACAAAAATTTAACTGATGTATTTTTTTGTTTTTGATTCTTTGGCCATAATTGTCGAGAATCTTGGAATTGAACTTAATGGTCAGAATTACTTAGTTAATTAACTGATCCTGTTTATTTAAATAAATAAATTCTTGTGATTATGGCATCTGTTTTTTTCTCCTAATTACTATTTTTTGTGTTAATTTTATTCCAATAAAACTTACATTTTCTTGTCACTCTCTTAAATCCTTTATAGAAAAGAGGTAGGAGAATTTATTTTAATTTCATAGAAAAAAGATTCTTGGGGCACTTGGGTAGCTAGTCAATTAAGCATCTGACTCTTGATTTTGGCTCAGGTAATGATCTCAGGGTCATGAGATCGAGCCCCGGATCGGGCTCTGCGCTGGGCATGGAGCCTGCTTAAGATTTTCTTGCTCTCTCTCCCACTGCCCTCTCTTTGCACACTTGCGTGCTTGCACATGCTGTCTCTCTCTCTCTCCCAACCAAAAAAAAAAAAAAAAAAAACAAACACAGATTCTTAACCTGTGTGGAAAAAGTAACACCAAAAGATTTTCCTCTAATTCCATTTTTTTTTAAGATTTTATTTATTTATTTGAGAGAGAGAGAATGAGAGAGAGCACATGAGAGGGGGGAGGGTCAGAGGGAGAAGCAGACTCCCACCAAGCAGGGAGCCTGATGCGGGACCCGATCCAGGGACTCCAGGATCATGACCTGAGCTGAAGGCAGTCGCTTAACCAACTGAGACACCCAGGGGCCCCTTCTAATTCCATTTAAGAAATCTTCAAATTTGGAAGACATTTGGAAATCAATACACAGCCAGAAGACTAAGTAATAGTTATGATTACATATGAATCTTACTTAAACTCTTATACATCCAAAAAATATCATAAGTCAAGTCAAGGGGGGAAGACCACTCATGATAAAAGATGAATTTCCTTACAAATAACTCTTACTACTTACTAAAAACAAGATAAGAAAATTTTAAAAAATGGGTGAAGAACATGAGTAAGTGGGTCAAAATACAAAGTCACAACTAAAAATATGAAAATATGTCCAACTTTATGCATAATTCAAGACAAGCAAATTAGACACCGATTAACTTAGTATATTCAAAAATTTTGAAAATGTACAGCCTTGGCGAGTGTATGGAGAATAAGGCATGCTCATAAACTTTTGGTAGAAGTGTCACCTGGAAATACTTTTGGGAGTATAATTTGGAAATACTGATTAAAATGAATAATATACAAACCCTTTGATCCAGCAATTCCAATTTTAGTAAGTGATCTTGCAGATACATTTGCACAGTACTCTCTGCATATAGATTTTATTAGTAAAAAAGCTAGAAACAATTTAAATATTATTTCCAAACAACAGAATACTAGTCGGCTATTAAAAAGAATGAGGCAGAGCTGTGTATACTAAAATGCAAAGATATGCAAGACAGTTAGTGAGGAAAAGAAAAAGAATGGAACCCTGTATGTTTGCACCTGTGAGTCTACGCCTCTAACACGCGGCCGTATACGCACAGGAATATGAAGAAGGCAGGTAAGACACTTCTGTGTTTATTTCTCAGGTGTACAACTGGGAGGGGGCAGAGAAAAGAGAAACATCCTTCTTTCGAGTTTTCTCTACGGCTGCATTTCTTACGGTGCACAAATTTGTTACTTTATAGTAAATGCCCTAATTTGCTGCACCTTGTTTAGCTAGTTACCTCTTAAACTGAAGCTTCACTAAAAAAATTTTGGAAAACAAGTACGGTAAAACCTCTAGTCTCTGGGCCAATGCAGATGCACAGCCCCAGGCCCTAAATCCTGCTCTTTTTGCTCTGTTGCCTTTACCTTCGGTAGGATACTAAGATAAGCAGACTCGCTGGAAGTTTTCAGAAAGGGAGGCGTGAGGTCCCTGAGCAGGTCATCATTCCTGCTGCTCCTGGGGGACAGGAAGCCAGCACTGCTCTGCCCGACGCTCCCGAAGATTGCCGCGTCCGCATCATGGAGAGAGCCTTTCGGGCGGCACCTGTACCTGGCGTCAGGGCTCACCATGGCTTCTTCAAACACGGACTCCTCATCAGAGAGCCGCAGCTTCTCAAGCTCCTTATTGATCTTCTGCACATCGGCCACGGTGGTGCCTGTGGACAAGCGACGGTCGGGCTTTGTGTATTCAGCACAGAGACTGAGGATGGTCTCCAGACGCTGTCTCTCCTAGAACACAGAAGAGGGGAAGGTCAGAGAGTTTGTGAGAATGCAGACAATCACAAAGAAAAAGACTGAAGAGGCTGGGACTGCTGGCAATTACACCCCACAGGTAAACCCACTGAGAGTGGGTTGGTGATGAGTTTCCATCATCTCAGATGGATGCATTTAAGGATCCAGGTGAAACCAGGTGAAAAATGCCTGATTTTCTTCCCAAACTCAATTCGAGCTGTCCCCTCTCCTTGGATGTCCCAGCGCTGATCCCCCCCGTAGCAGCCCTCGGTAAGCCTTTTCTTGATTTATTGGTTCTCTGAACATTTCAGTCTTTTTTTCAATCTCCTTTTTAAAAAATCTTCACTCCCCCTTCCTTCTCTACCGCTCTGCCTCCAACATATCTAGCTCTTTCATCATTACCGACTTAACACTTGCGCTTAAAGTTAATTCTCTAGCATCCCAGAGAAACCAGACACACAAAAAGAAAAACACTACTTAAAGAATCTTCTAATTTAAAAGAATTTTTTCTTGAAATTTTTTCAATATTTTTTTGACATGCCTCAAAATTTTCAATACTTTTCTTATGTCTTGTCATGAGATAAAGGTCTTTTCCATCAATTTCTAACATGAGTAATTAAAATTATAAAGAGGTAGAAACGTTGCATAAAAATGAAAGAACTTTTCATGTCACATCCAGTAGAACGACAGCAATGTATTTCAGATTCTGAGATCCTTTGGATTCATTTAACTGCAACATAAAATGATAGTTCATTTGCTTAAAAAAAAAATCAATATATAGGCCATTGATGTCTAGTACTAATGGTACTACTTACTGACACTTCACCAAGATCCCCATACAAAACAAGTGGATATTTATGGTTTTTGACTTTAAGTAAAATCACTATATATTTGTGAGCAATAGTATATAATTTACGAAATGTTTATCGTAAGCCTCGACAGCACTGTTTGGGGTGGGGAACATTAACATCTCTGCCTCGCACATTAATTCCAAGGCCAAAGTGAAAAGAAAAACAATAAAATAACAAAAAAGTCTGTTGTGATTACAGCTACCACACTGAAAAAAAAAAAGTCAAAAGCCTTCCATAGAAAAATATTTTCCAAACTGGTTATCAGTAACAATGTAGAAAATTTTTAAGTAGCACTGGGCTACTGTTTTCAACTTCTAACTGCAGCTAATTTGTAAAGACAAAATTCTGAAGGCAGTCAGCTCTTTGCCAGTTGAAGGACTGACTATCCAACAGCGAAGTTAAATAGAAACAGACCAACATAATGCCCTGGTTTCCATTAAATGCACTAATTAAATGACAAGACAGAAGTCATTTAAGTTGTGTCTGACTTTTCTCTGTCCTCTAAAGTATGCCCCTTCACCCCTGCAAATGCAATAACTTGATCAAAAGGACTATCACACCAGCTCCTCTAAGCCCCCACCTCCCGTTCACTGCCTGAACTTCTGGCCTCCAGCTGCAGCTCGGTCCTCATGGCCTCGTCCCTCGGCAGGCGCTCATAGCTGCACGACCTTCTCCCGCGCACTCCTGCACCCAGTCCGTCCAGGAGCCCCGGGGCTTATTTATCTCTGCAGCTGCTGCCAGCTGCCAAGCTCTACGCACCTCAGCTTTATGGGGAGGGAGCGGGGGTGGGGGGACACAGCATTCACTGCCTTATTTTAAACTTCTCCAACGACAGAGGAAAGTTTACATGGGAATATGCAAAACCCACGTGCAAGGGCATATTTAAGGAGGGGGACGGGAACAAGACCCTATATTTTACCCCTTCTCAACAGCATCTGCATGAGAAACTAATGCTAATTTCCAAAGGAAAGTTCTCTTTCTGCCATTTAGGTGACTTCAGCTGAAGCACCCAAACTCCGTCCCTACTGACCTTTATAGATCGCAGTGTGTATACATTAGCCTGGACATTAATTACACGTGGGATTATCTGAAAATTGTCAATTCCCACTTACCAGGGCTTCAGGGAACAGTGTGGTCTTCAAAACCACGGAAGGCACTTCTGCCTCGCCTGTGATACATAGCAAAATCCCTCCCACATCTCTTTCCCAAAATAGTTCCTTCTGCTGCCAGTGCTCTTGCTTAATTCCACAGGAATAAATGATCCCAGCCTTAAGATGAATGCTATTTCAGACAGTGGAACGCAGTACTCAATGGCTTGTGCACAGGAAGTGTGGTCTACTGGTATGTGGTTCTCTCTATTCTTATCACCCCATTCACAGCCAATCTGTCCAGGCTTGAATCACACACACAAGCCGCACTGCCGCCCGTGAGTCTCAAAGAAATCCAGGCTGCGCGGAGACACACTGGCCCCATAAAAGCTGAACCAAAGAAAAATAAACTGATGTCAAGAAGTGCGTCAGAAGAAAGTCTGCAAGGCATTTCAGAAAGCACTATATGCAGCCTTTTAAGGAAAACCCTGCACAGAATGTACTCTCATAAAATAATTCTCCCCGGAGCCCTCTTCACTCTGGAGTCTTGTTCTTTCCCATCCATCACTCCAATATTCTCCATTCTGGGGGTGCCTAAAACCAGGGCACCCATTCCACACCAGGACGCCTTTGAGAACCAAACAGGGCACTATGAATAATTATTCTGGAACGCCAAGCACCAGCAGGGACTGAGATGGACGGCCCCCCACCTAAAACCCAACTTCATCTGGCCCTTCACCTGGCCATGCCAAGTTGGGAAGGCCACCCTCCTGAAGATCTCCAGTTTCTGCCCACCTCTCCCAGCCAGTGTTCTGCTGTGCGTTCTTTTGCAAAGCCACCAGTGCAAGGCCTCGGCATCTAAATGGCACGAAACATTGGTGCTATGGCCTTGGAAAGTAGGTCATTTGAATCAAATCATTTTAAATACATTTTTTAATCTCCCTCTCTATTTTCGCTTTCCTCCTCTCCATATACCACATATATCAAAGAAAGCTTTGAAGGGGACACGGGATCTTAAAATATATACCTGAAGAAAATGGTGTGTGGTTCTTTCCCTCGGCAATTAAAAAAAAAAAAAAAAAAGCTGCAGACTGAGGGTGTTTTGACCTCAGAGCTTTCTTTCTTTTTCTGAGGAATGTGTCTGGCAATGCCTCTCCGCAGCCCTCGGTCAGGGGCCTCATCCATCTCCCAGCCCCATCCATCCCCTGGTAACCAACAGCAGCCAGTCTGGGCCACAGGACTGGAAATGCAGTGTAGAAATAAACTACATAGAAAACCAATTGCCCAATACCCAAGCGCAGTCGAAATCTTTGCTGAACTCCTTGTGTTATAATTAACTATGTTGGGTCACTCGTTATATAAAAGCAAGGGTCAACTTTTAATGGCTAGAAATAATTTAGTTGGAAGAAGATATTTTTTCTCGAGAGGACCTGCTGTAACTGCTGAGTATGACCTTACTTCTCTCTCTCTTGTTAACCCTAGAGATTCAATATCTCCATAATCGCCAGTTCATCAAAGATCTGTTAAGTTACCCTCAGGCCATAACTGTGCTGGAGACACAAGGACGGAAAAAGACAGCATTTCTACCCTCACATCTTTAGCGGAAAGCACAGCCAATCAATCAAAGAAAAGGGTGCTAACAGATTTACAGAAAACCACCAGATTCACATATAAGGAAGTAGTTGACCAAAATTATAGAAAGACAAATTTGAGTTGAGACCCTGGGATAAATATGAGTCTGTGTGGTCTGTTGGCCAGTGGGGTGGGCTGGGCCTTTCTATAAAGGAACCATATGAGCAAAGGCATAGAGCACGGACTAATAGAGTATGCTCAGGGATCAGCAACTACTGTGTGGCTAGAAAGATGGGGTTCTTTGGAGGAAAAAGGACGAGGTACATGAAGAGAAGTGGGTCAACTTTCTCTCTCTGTACACCAGGACTTATGAGATCCCAATAACCCTAAATAAAAAACCAAAGAGAGTCAGAGACCCTGGCCTAAAGGTGGATGGCAGAATGAGATGAAGCTGACAGCACGTAAGCATAATTTCCAGGATTCCATGAGCACATTCCGATGTCTCATTTAGGTAGGACAATGAGGAGGAAAAACAGAAGCAATGGTTAAAAGTCTTTTACGTGAGTCTGTTTGTTTTTAGAGATAAATCCCGTGGGTTAGTAACTAGGGCTATGATGATCAGTTCTTGTCTTTTTGGACACAGGGTAAAACAGTTTTTCAATTTCCCACTCCTAAACTAGATACGACCGTCAGACTTGCACTGGCCCATTACGTGTGAAAAGCAATGTGTGTCCCTTCTGCCCGGACAGCTAACACATGATCCATTGCATGTCTTGCTTTGCCATGGCAGAGTGACACTCCAGATGGTGCTGGCTCCCTGAGCCTTGGCCCTGAGCAAGGAAATACGGAGCAGAGGCCTCATTCAACCCATGCTGGCCATGGAGAGTGAAGGAGAAATAGACCTACGCTGTTTTAAGCCTGACATAATTGTTTTCTTTTGTTTCCTCCACATTATGATTGATAAGCCTTGCTTAATTTCAAGCAGGTTATGGGCCCAAAAGTTGGAGACAAGAGCCTCAGAGATCCTACTAAAGGCAGCATTTATTTACTGTGTAATAAAGAATTTGGCTTTGCCCAAAGAGAGGTCTGGCCTTCACTGCTGGACTGGTGGCTTCTGGAAGGTAATCTATGTCATACCTGATGGGATTGTCCTTGTTTAGGACAAAGTGGGGCACTCCTGATAATCAATCTCAGGGTGAGGGCTGGCCACTCCACAGTCATGATTTTTGTGTGGGGGCCTGGGAATCATGTGTTATCAGTCAACCTGGAGATGAGACTAACCAAGTGGACAATCAATCAGTCATGCTTACATGGTGAAGTCCCAATAAAAACTCTGGACACTGAAGCTCAGGAGGTCTTCCCTGGCCGCCCACACTCCATGAGCACTGCCACACACCAATGTGGGCAGCGTATCACACCCTGACTCCACAGGGAGAGTCCAGCGGAAGCTTTGCATTTGGAACCTCCTGACTCGGCCCCTCTACTTCTCTTCTCCTTGGCTGACCTTGATCTTAGCTTTTCCCTGTAATAAACAATAACCCTGACTGTAACAGCTTTCAGTGGGTTCTGTTAAGTCTTCCTAGCGAATTCATGAACCCCTGGGTGGTTCCCAGGAAGTCTCTGAACCTCTGCTTGATATCAGAAGAGAGGACGGTCGTATGTGGAGACAAGGCCCTTTAACCTTGTAACTGGCCTTCACGTTTATCCAAACATTGCCCTAGGATTATATTTATCAGTTTAGGACAACTGATCTTAGCAACTGCATACATAAGTAAGGAGTTTTTATTTTTTTTGATTTCACAAATTATCGTCATAAAAGTCAGTTTAATGTCTAGCTAAGAACATTTTATCTTGTAGTCTACCTGGGAAGTCCACCTTCAGACTTGTGGTCAGGGCAGCGCTTTATTCTGCCATCCATTGTTTAGAAAGCATGTGCGTGTGTGCCCCATCCGAGGGTTGCTCTGGAAAGAGGCCCATCTGACAAATGAAATAGCAATGGCTTTGTGTGATTATCTGTTCTGGAGGCAAGTGCAAGTCATCTGAAGAGTTACGGAATAATGTGACAGCTACGAATTGATCGACAAGCATCTGTCACGTGCAGATTGCTATTAGGATTTTGTATCAACTATACCTACTCTGGCTCCATGATAATGGATAACCAGATGCCAAGGGAGAGTAAGGCATACGTAGATAACTAGGATACTGCTTGCCATTCAGTGATTTTTCAGTACCCGTTTCTCAAATATAGTCAGTACACCCCATACACAAGCACACTGCCTAAGGAGATCAAGGCCGTCCTGCGCAATGCCCTAAACTTCCCTCCTCTACCTCTTTTTATATGTGTGGTCCTTCTTTCTTCAAGGTACCATAGTGGCTAAGAGCAGGAACTCTGGAGCCTGCATGCTATTTCCACAGCTACGTGTGAGGCCCTGGGCAAGTCATTTAGCATCTGTGAGTCTTAGTTCCTCATGCATAAAGCAAGGAATTACTAGAATATCTATCTTGTAGGGTGTCATGAGGATTTAAAACGTAAACAAACAAACATGTATATGTATACACACACACACACACACACATACACGTGCGCCCTTCTTGACCACAGTAAACACAATATAAGTGTTTGCACAGGGATCTAAGGAGTCCCTCAGTCCTCCCAAGGTGAACCCCTCTGCCTGCCTCACTGCATCCATATTCCCTCCCATTATCCTTATGGTTTTGTTTCACCAATTTTCCCTCCCCTACACACTTATTTCCTCTCTTGAATTCTTCGCCTCTGTCTGCAAATGTATTCAAGTCCCCTCCTTCTTCCCTCGCCCCAAACAATAAATTATCCTCATCGGATTACCCAGTAGATTTTCTATTCCACTTCCTTACTTCCCTTCACACCTCCACACATTCCCAATCTCAAAGAAGTCACCAAAGCTCAACATTTCACTTCCCATCATTCTCAGCCCTTTGCAATCTAGAATAGTGTGTCCT